ATTTCTCTTCTAGTCATCCTACCTGTTTTATAATTGCTTTAATGATATGCTAACTCTGTATAAAATAATTAGCTTTCAGTAAGTCAAATACAATTATTTTCTTAAACTTTAGAGATTTGCCGAAGGGAATTTTAAAAATAAAAATGCTCAGTTATATGGCATGAAAAGTTTGAATAGCTTGAATGGTTTGCTTGAAAATTAATATTTTTGTCTCTAAGCAGTAAATAATGACAAAAGGAGGTTTCAGAATATTTGTAAATACATCTGGCTTTAAAATAAAGATAGCATACTTGGTTTAGAAAAAGCCGTTTCATAGCAATTAATTGGAACTTCAAGTGTGAAACATTTTTTAAATGTAAGAGAAAATGATAGTATAGATAATTTTAATCTACATAAATTTCAGAACATTTGACTATTTGTATGTTGCTATTATATATAGGTACAGGTGATATTTTATCAGAATCTATGTAGGGGATACAAAAATGTTTTATTTTTCTTTAAAATGAATATACTGCCCCAAATCACTTATCCATTTGGCTGGAGCCAAGCAGAGTTAATACGTAGCTTCTCAACAGTGGATTAGCAAATGAAAAGAAGTGCTCTGAAGCCAGTAGAGGAAAATAGGAAGTGTCAAGAAGATACTCCCATCCCCCTTTCTTTTCCTCCGAGCTTTTAGACCTTTGTGTAATGAGGCCCCTTTGGGGATACCCTAGGAACTGTCTCTGAGCTTTGGCTCTAGGCAGCCAGGCAAACTGGGTGTCTCCGGTGGCAGCAGCCTGGCTCTCTAGCTCCTGCTTTCCTCCCTACCCTTCTCTTGGTCATCCTCCCCTTGCTGCTTTCTTTCATAAGTGGACAGGGTACGTGAGCCCCCTACTCTCAAATATTAATCTCATGATCTGTCATTCCACCATCCTGGTTTCACTTCTTTGGATTTTTAAAAAGATTTTACCGTTGAGAGATCCCCTTTTAAAATGCAAATACCCCTGGGAGAGGTCAGACCTTAGTTCTCAGCTAACATCTTAATTAACAGCACCTTAGTTGGGCTTAGTACACATTTGGTTGAGAAGAATGAAACCCTGGCTCAAAGTGATAAAACTAGAAGGAAACTAGCATTATAATAATAGTAGTAATAGTATTATTATTATTATTATTATTGTTGGCAGCTAAGATGTGCTGAGGGCCTTATTACTTTTTGTCAGTGCCGTCAAGTCGATTCTGGCTCCTAGCGCCCCTGTGTACAGCAGAGTGGAACCCAGCCTGGTGTTTTTGCAACATCCTCTCACCTTCCGGTGCTCTATCAGACGCTGCTCTGTGGCTATTCATAGGGTTTTCATGGCTAATTTTTTGGGGAGTGGGTGGCCAGGTCCTTCTTCCTAGTCCGTCTTGCTCTGGAAGCTCCACTGAAGCCTGTCCACCGTGGGTGACTCTACTGGTATTTGAAATACCAGTCGCATAGCTTTCAGCATCACAGCAACATGCAGCCGCCACAGTATGACAATTGACAGACAAGTGGTATGGTTCCCTGACCACGAAACGGATCCAGGCCACAGTGAGAGCACCAAATCTTAACCACTAGACCACCAGCCATATTAAGTGCCAGGAATTGTATTCTAAGTGCTTTACAAATATAAATTTCTCTAATTCCCTAACAACCCTATTGGTGTTATTGCCACTGTTATTTTACAGGTAAGAAAACTGAGGGATGTGGGGTATAAATACATTGTCTAGGTCTCATAGTAAATACAGCCAAGTGTTAAACTCGTGCATTTCGGTTCCAGGGTGTGCTGTCTAACCGTTTCGCTGTGACACCTTTCCCCTGCTATAATGCCTCTCAGAGATGGCATCTCGTCAACATTTCACCCTTTTCACAATTTTGCATTGCATGGAATCATGCCGTTCAATTATAGGCCACTTAACAGGTCAGGGACCTTGCCATCATCTAAATAGAGATTTTAGTAACAAGTGCAATGAAATAGGCGAATTCCTTGTAACCAAGGGAATGTATTTGCAGAATATAGAGGAGAAGGCAGTGAAGAGGCTAGTGTATCATTTAGTACATACATAGCACTGTCTTTCCTACTTAAAACTTACTGTGCAAGTAACGTGATCCTTACCTTTGGAAATTTGAGAATATGGATTAGTAAAATAATTTGCAGCCCCCACTACCCAGAGATAACCCCCACAATAAATATATATATATTCTTTCTAGGTTTTTTTCTTTTGAGCTTTCTTTTCTGAATGTCGTGCAAGGTATCAAATCATACCATCTCTTTAAAATGTTAGAATGAAATCATTTTCCTTGAGTGTAAATAAACGGCATTTCCTTCTTCATCTCTACAAGCAATTGAACTAATAATTATTGTCTATGACTTGCTAGAAACAAACATCTAACTAAATTATCTCTGTGTTCTTTATATGTTCCTTTTTAAATAAAAGGAGATAGAAGACAGCCCTAGATTCTTCTCTTAATCTCCGTATTGAATCAATTCTTTTAAACAATCCAGCACAAATCTACCACTGCTCCCGTCTTGGCAGCGTTAATTTCCTTGTAATGTCTGGAGCAGTAGAGTCTCTTTTAATCACTCATCCGTCTAGATCTGCCGTTCAGATCCTTCTGTAACCTGAATATCTGATCATGTCATTCTCCTCTACAGAGCTTTTTATTACCTGTAGGCCCAGGAGGCAGGCTTGGGGGTGATTGGGGCAGGTAATTCTCCAGGGGCCAGGTCCCAGTGAATGGGTCTAAAAGGGAAATTGGGGCTATGTGCAGGTTCCAGGTGGCTGCATCCCCTTGACTCTGCTGACTCCACGTAATGGGAGAGGGCCAGAGCAGGGGCCCCCTAAAGTGGCAGCTCTGGGTCCTGGTTGTCTGGGTCCAGAGGCAGACTATGCTGCTGCTTGTGGAGAGTAAACTTTTGGTAGCAGCAGGGACCAGGGCTAGGAGACCAGTTAGGAGCCTTATGGCAGTCATCGAGGTGAGCCTTGATTGTGGCTTGGACCAGGGTAGTGGAAAGAGAGGTAAAAGAGGTAGTCAGATTCTAGATATAGTGTGAAGATAGAGCCAACCATTTTTCCTGAAGGGTTGGTGTGGGGAGAGAGAAAGAGGAGTCAAGGATGACTCTAAGATGTTTGAGCCTCAATACGTAGCAGGAGTGAGGATAATGGAGAATATTAATCACTGATGTCTTAATTTTGCCATTAGCCACTATTGTTGAATACTAGGAATTCTAATAAAATGCTGTATTTGACCAGATTTTGGACCTCAGGAGATTTTGAGGGAAGAGAAGTAAACTTCAAATGTGTGTTTGAAATATCTGTCCAGGGAGGGGGGAGGGCAAAAGGGGTGATTAGGCTCACATGTGAGGGGATGGACTATAATTAGTGTTCAGGTGGTGAACATGATGTAATGTATCCAGAATTCGAAATATGATGTACATCCGAAAAAAATAAAAATTGAAAAAAAAAAAAAGAAATATCTGTCCACATGTGAGGGTTGGGACTGGTCAGTCTTAAGTGCATATTCAGGGTACCCTGTATCTAAAAGTTAAGAAATGGGGAGCAGGCAGGGCTTGGCTCTCTGATTGCTCGGAGATTTTATAAAAAAAGAGGTGGGAAGGACCCAAAAATCAACTTTACCTTGACAGTTTTCTTAGGGCCCTGGAGGTGGCACCTGCAAGTCCCCTTGAAATTCGTATTGTCTTGCTGCCCTAAAAAATGTAAAGCCTTGATCATGTTGCTTACACTGTTCTGAGTGTTCTCTAACTAGGTCCCCGCCTGAAATTTGTGTGCCGTTTCTGTTAAATCAATTAAGATAATGTTTTGTGATCCCTACTTTTTAACTAGATGTCAGTTCACTATTTTTAGGTACTTGTAGCAGAAATATTCCTGACTTTAACTGATAAAGGAACAAGTTTCTGGGGTCAAAATCACGTAGGTTTTGTTTGCTTTATTATGTAGGGTTTTTGTGGTGTATGTATGTTTGTTTTTCAGAATAAGCTTATGATTTCAGATAAATGCTTAGGCCTGCCAAAAGGTAAAAGTTCATTGTATTGCCACCACTTCATCTTCTTCCTCTTTTCTCTTTATTTGCTTACACATCCTTGCACATTCCTCAGAGTCTATTCACACACAAAAGGATTTTCTCCTCCTTTCTCTCTCCCCAAGGCCGACTGTCAAGTCTGTCAAGTCAGAGTATGTTACAGAGCCATGAATTAAAGGTCATTATTGATTTACTAATGGAAAGCAAAATATAAAATGGTAATAATTAGAATATTTAATGTGATTCATTTAAATAAAGAGAATAAAATATTAAGATTTGTTTACTATAGTTAGCATTATAGCTACCATTTATTGAGCGTTTACCTTGTGTGAGATAAATATTTTATATTATCTCAATTCTTCAACAATTCAATGAAGTTGGTATGATGTTCCCTGTTTTACAGATGAAGTTTAGAAAAGTAAAAAGATTTGCTCAAAACAGACATATAATAGTGTGTGGCAAAGGTAGAATTCAAACCTAAGTTTTCTGTTTCTGAACCCATGCCTTTGACTATGGTTGTGCTTTAGTAACTCCACTTAGGGCTCTCCGAACGTAGATTAGATGTATTTAGGTCTTGCCCACCTCAGTTGTTAAGAAAAGGAATGTAGTTTTGTAAACTGCCCTCAGACTATTGGGTAAAAAGAGGTTGGATCTTATTCTAGTTCAGTGAAAAGTGGTCACTACCCGTCCTTCACCAGTAGATGGTGGCAGAAAATTAAAAAGAGCTTTTAAAGGAAACCCATCAGAGAAAGCAAAGTGAAGGTGTGTTCTTTCAGAACAAGGTGTGTGGGAGATCAGAGAAGAGTAGAGTAAGGGAAGGGTGAGACGTGCCTGTGGAATCATGACAGGCAGCCCAGAAACTGGGAGGGAGCAAATTTATAAAATTATTCTTGGAAAGATACCTTATAAAAAAGAAAAATGTTGGCTTCCTTTTATTAAAAATTGACATTGTTTTGTTTAGTTTTCAGATGCTTCAAGTGTTGTGAACAGAGACTTGTTTGGATTATGTGTTTCTCAGCAAGACTAAATAAATGTTAACAATGGATAAGTGCAAACACATTGGTCAGTTGCGGCTTGCTCAAGACCATTCCATCCTCAACCCTCAGAAATGGCATTGTGTGGACTGCAATACAACTGAGTCGATTTGGGCTTGCCTTAGCTGTTCCCATGTTGCCTGTGGAAGATATATTCAAGAACATGCACTCAGGCACTTTCAAGAAAGCAGTCATCCTGTTGCATTGGAGGTGAATGAGATGTATGTTTTTTGTTACTTTTGTGATGATTATGTTCTTAATGATAACGCAACTGGAGACCTGAAGTTACTACGAAGTACGTTAAGTGCGCTCAAGAGTCAGAATTATCACTGCCCCACTGGGAGCGGAAGGGTCTTACGGTCTGCGGGTACACGCGATGACTCTTATTTCTTACATGATGGCGCCCAATCTCTGCTTGAGAATGAAGATCAGATGTCTACTGCTGTCTGGCACCGGAGAAGGATACTAATGGGTAAAATCTTTCGAACTTGGTTTGAACTATCACCCATTGGAAGAAAAAGGCAAGAAGAACAATTTCAGGAAAAAATAGCAGCAAAAAGAGAAGTGAAGAAACGACGGGAAGAATTAGAGTATGAAGTTAAAGCAGAATTGGAAAGTATGCCTCCAAGAAAGAGTCTACGTTTGCAAGGTCTAGCCCAGTCCACCACACTAGGAATAGTTCCTGTTCAAGTACCGCTACCAACCCCAGCCTCACCAGCAAAAGATAAAGTATTATCTACCTCAGAAGATGTAAGATTAAGAAAAGCCAGTGACTTCTCAGTTAAACGAACACTAGTAGTAACTCCTGGTGTAACGGGATTGAGAAATTTGGGAAATACTTGCTACATGAATTCTGTTCTTCAGGTGTTGAGTCATTTACTTATTTTTCGACAATGTTTTTTAAATCTTGATCTGAACCGATGGCTGGCCGTGACAGCTAGTGATAAGACAAGATCATCTTATAAGCGTCTACCAGCCACCGATACCGTATATCAAATGAACGAATACCAAGAAAAAGATACAGGATCTTTTCGCTCCAGACGTCCAAGTTTATCATTAGGACTAAGTGGTGGAGCATCAAAGAGTAGAAAGATGGAACTTATTCAGCTGAGGGAGCCAAGTTCACAATGCATTTCTCTCTGTCATGAATTGCATACTTTGTTCCAGGTCATGTGGTCTGGAAAGTGGGCCTTGGTCTCACCATTTGCCATGCTACACTCAGTGTGGAGACTAATTCCTGCTTTTCGTGGTTATGCTCAACAAGATGCTCAGGAATTTCTTTGTGAACTTTTGGATAAAATACAACATGAACTAGAGACAACTGGTACCAGTTTACCAGCTCTTATCCCCACTTCTCAAAGGAAAGCTATCAAACAGGTTCTGAATGTTGTGAATAACATTTTTCATGGACAACTTCTTAGTCAGGTATGGATTTTTTTAAATCTTATTTTCATCTGGGGGAATTCATAAAGTGAAGCCTAAAAAATGCATAATCTTTCTATATCTAGCGTGTTAGAGCTAGTACTGTTTTCAGATCAAAATCGATCGCTTTCACAAATACATATAGAGAAGTCTGCTCACTCATTTACAGCTGTTTCCTTCATGAATCATTGGAAGTAGTTTTACATGCATGGTGTCAAAGCTTTTTTTGTGGGGAGAGGGAATCAGAAAACAGAGCTTCTTAGGTTAATAATAATACATTCATTCTCTGAGGAATTGAGAAGAGAGTTTAATCCCACAGGGAACCGATTTGAAGATGCTGCAGTACTGGGAATGGATTGGTGCACGCTTGAGTAATTTCAGGGGCCAAGGAGGAGCGCTGGAGGACTGCCCATGAAACCAAGGTGGGGAGGGTCTGAAAGCTTTAACAAGTCTGTGGGAAAATTTTAAGGTAAAGAAGTGTGATTCCATCTAGAATAATCCTAAATGGTTTTCCTTTTTTAATTACAGCTGCAAAAGTTTCCCTTGTGAAAAGGAATCACAAAACCAGACTCTTCCATCTAATTAACGGTTCTCTATAATGAGTGGACTTGTTGGTAGACTATTACTAGACATAAGGCTCTCTACTTTTCCAGAGCACAGAGCATTAAAAAAATTTTTTTCTTTTTAAGCTTAGGCAATTGGTCACTTAGGTCATTTCCTCACGCCTGCACACCTGCCTCTGTTCCTCAGTTCACCTTTCATGGCAATGATATCATCTCTTGTTTTTATAGCATACTTTTTTGGAATGTGGTTTAAATATTTGAAATGTAATTCTTCTTAGGGAATATCTTTGAAGTTTCACTTAATGTTTTAGAAATGTAAAGATTCTACATTGTGCTAATTAGCAACTAAGAGTTTGTGTTTCTTGTATTACGTGCCGTTTTACTTTTCCACCATCCTTCTCTGTCATTTCTGACTTTTTATGCAGATGTTTAAAATACGCTATATAAATAAAAGTAATATATAGTTGTAGAAAACCTATATGATACAGTAAATCTATGCAGAAAAGAAAAATCATCCTCTAATCCCATAACCCCACAACGCACACAAAAGACTACTATTTTGGTATATTTCCTTCCAATTTTTTTTTCTTCTGCACATTTTATACTTTTTCTTTTCCCTTAAATGTGTGGTCATGTTGAATTTACCTGCTTTTTAAATTTTTTCACTTAACAACATAAAGATTTTTCATAGTCATTAAAATATTTAATCATTCTTTTCACACCGTTTCAATGTCCATCATCTGCATATGCCACAATTTCTTTATCCATTCTCCTATTGTCAACTTGTAAAGTAGCTCCAGTTTTTCCGTTATTATAATGTTCTGATCACGTAATACATTTTTTCCAGTGATTTCCTTAAGAGAGAGTCGTAGAAGGAGAATTACTTTGTCAGAGGGTATATACTTGGTTACAAATTTCTTTACAGAAAGTTACCATTTTATATTTCAAATAGTGTGACAGTGGCTATGTGCTTGTTTTTTCCTTTATGGATGAATTTTGAAATTAATAAAAATTATGTCAGCTTTTTGCTCTCTTCCCTTTGAACATGTAATAAACTCTTAGGAAACTGGCCATTTCAGGAGATTTGGATGGTTGGTTGGTGGAATGGCTTTTTTTTAAAGAAACTATTCCCAAAGGTAAGACCCTGGCCCTAGAGAGTCCCCAGACTAAATGCCACGAGTATTCTTTTTTCTTCTGTGTCAACTTGTTAAATCTAAAATCTGCATTAGAACTGGTTTCTTTATTTGGTTACCTGTTCTAGGAATGTAGCGTGTGTGAAAGAGCTTAGTAATATTTCACATCATGTGTGGATTATTAGATCTTAAGGGTCTGGCTTCAGTTATGTGCAGTGTCTGTTGGCATTAAATCTGCTGAATGCTTCCCTGAAGTTATTATTCTTTCCCTTTCCGGTTACCCAATTTCCTATGTAAGTTGTTAGAACTCTCCCGTATTCTTTGTGGTTCCTGTATTTTGATGAGGATCTTAAGGTAGTGATGTTAACTTTAAGTGGGATATGACATCATTATTTATGTTATATGTATTGTCTTTTGAAGTTATCAGTTGGTAGGGCTTTAAAATCTGTATATATTAATATATTGTCTATAAAAATAGACTAATAGTAATTTATTTGTATTATGGTTAAGAGTTTATAGAGATTTGGGGAGAGAAAAATCAGTGAAAAATGAGCAAGGAAAAATGGCAAAGAACCTCAAGTCTAAACACATTAAATTAAATGCATATAAATATATATCATATAGACACACACACACGCATTGTATATCTTATTAAATGGGTCCTCAGTTTGGTTTTTTACCTAAATTCAGATTTGACTTGGAGTTTTTTGAATGCCTAGTAGTTAAAAGCCCACAAATGTGTAATTAATGACAGTCCTTTGGAAGGAAAATTAATTATAATAGAAAATTCCTGAAAATAATATAAAGCAGATTATTCAGAATTCTGGTGGTGCGTTTTCAGAAGAAAAGCTTATTTCCAGGCAATGACCTCTAGTGAAAGGAGTAAATGCTTTGACAGAAAGGATTTGACAGAAGGATTGTAATCTGAGAAACTAAAATTTTTATTTGCAGGTTACATGTCTGGCGTGTGACAACAAATCAAATACCATAGAACCTTTCTGGGACTTGTCACTGGAATTTCCAGAAAGATACCAGTACAGTGGAAAAGATACTGCTGCCCAGCCATGTCTGGTGACTGAAATGTTGGCCAAATTCACAGAAACTGAAGCTTTAGAAGGAAAAATCTACATATGCGACCAGTGTAACTGTAAGTAGAGACTGTATATTCTCTCTGCTTTTCTAAGATTAGCAAAGAGACCCACAAATGAGAGGAAGCTGGAAGAAATTTCTTATGTAGCCGTTATGGAAAGAAACCTTGAGAATTCATCGAAAGAAACTAGGCTATTCTACTTTATAATTGGCATTTTTGAACTTTGTGTTTATTTTGCTTTATTGATGACATTAAAAATATTTTTCATCCTATAGTCAATTGTGGAGAGAAAGGATTCATAAAATAAGAAATTTAAATTTTAATACATTAGGCAGAATAAAGTAGCAAAAGGGAATAGTAAAAGCAAAGTATGTTACTTAGTACTGAATGAAATGTTGGCTTTATGAATCGTTTTGCTTGTATCAAAACACTGATATATAGATAACACGAGTGTGTGTGTGTGTGTGTGTGTGTATATGTGTATGTGTCTGTATACATACCTGTATAATAGGAAATAATATATAGTTGGACTGCTGCTGTGGAGATTGGCTTCATGAAAACAAAGATTCAAAAACTATCTACTGACTATCTCTTCTATATTCATCATTGTTCTTGTTGCTATGGATAGAGGTAAGACACTTTGAAGGTACTCACATACCTAATGGAGGAAACAGACAATTAAGATCCACTCTGATAGGCTCGCTAATAGAGGTGAGCACAGGAACCCAACACTGGGAGATGAATCAGCCATTTCAGTTACAGAGCAGCATCCTCCTCCAGGGAAATGGTGTGTAAAACCACGTCAGATCTGCGTGTCTTTATCTGGTATCTCTATCTCCTCTATCAATGTGTACATGGCATTTTAGTGTTTATACTAAATATTTCCAGGTATTTGCCCTAATTTCCATGTCTGAAAAAAATGATTTTAGGGCTTTAGATACTAAACTTCTAAGGTAATATAAAAGAAATGTTGGATGTTCCAGCATTGAAGAAATGTCATATCACATGATGGTTTTCTAGAATGACTTAAATTAACATTGTTTTCTGAGTACTAATATGAACTCTGTTATAAGAAATTACACAAAGGCAAATGTAAGTCAAGGAGTTGACATCCCTTATCCAGCTAGACTTGGACCATATATTCTGAGAGACAATCCAAAGGTAGGTCCAGGACATTCAGCAGCAGCCAGGTAACCTGGATCTTACAGGCAGAGACCTGGAGGAAAGGCTTCTGGTGGCAAGTGGAGACGGCTTAGAGGACAGCCTCATGATGCACTGATCCCACCTCCTACATGAGAAGCAGCTGCTACTATGGCTGAAGTCGGAGCTGGTGTACAAGTTGAAGGACAGCTCCTGGACATCAGGAGCAAACTTTGGTAGCCAGTGGCCCAGCCAGAAGCTGCAGGACACAGACCATAGGTGGACCTCCAGGGAAGCAGAGGGGACAACAAAAAGAATCCAAAGTTCCACTTTTTAAGATCTGGTGCTAAATTAGCAAAAGCAAGACACTGAGGGAGGCCTCAGATGCAGAGCTAGTAAGGTCTGCTTTCTCAGGCCTTGGCCAGGGCTGGGATGGATCGCTGGAGAGGGGTGTTCTGGGCAATGAGGACCCATGCCCCTGGGGATCCTGATTAGCCTCAATAAATGAACTGAACGTGTAACTTTTTTAATTAAGAATTTGGGAAGAGTATATTAAAGTATGTTTAGGGAGAGTTTTAACTTTTCCTATTAATTGGCATAGCCAAATCCATTTTCAAATATTACAGCATTATCATTCTGTTGTTTATTTGCAGGATTATATTAAATCATGTACCTATTTGTTTATGTCTATGTTGACTAGCTCCTAAGTTTTCTTTTTTGTGTAATTGTAAGTTCCTTGAGGGCAAGGTCATTTCTTTATCTCGAGCACAGTACAATGCCTGTAACACAGTAGATGTTTAATTGATAATACACCTCTGAATTATTTTAGTTTACTCAGCTCTTCTTCTCTCCTTAAATTTGATTCTCATTCTGTCTTTGATATCACAGCAAAGCGTAGAAGGTTTTCCTCAAAACCAGTTGTCCTCACAGAAGCCCAAAAGCAGCTTATGATTTGCCACCTGCCTCAGGTGCTCAGACTACATCTCAAACGATTCAGGTTAGTAGTCATATCATAGTATCACCAGTGCCTACCAGCATCCACTTCTAACTTGATCATTCCTTGTGCTTAAAGTGCTTCGAAACTTAATACACATGATGAATTAAATTTTAATACTATATACTTGGCTAGTAGATGACTTACATCTACTTTTTTTTTAAGAAAAAAAAAATTCTGTCTGTAGCCTCGACCAGGGGACGGCGTATTCAATAACTCACCTCCTGATTAGCTTCCCTCGCAGAAGGCGCTGCTGACCCGCAGACCCCTCATGTTTTGGTCTGCTGGGTGATGTGATTCTCCTGGTGCGTTTCTGCTTATAGTGTTTAATATTCAGCATATTTTAGGTATACAATTTTTTAATTTAATCTGTAACTTGAGAGTATTTGACCCAATTGCTTTATCCTGGGAAAATATTTGAACAAAGGTATAGCAGTTCAATTCAAAGCAGTTAAAAAACAAAACCAAAAACAACTAGTCTTCAGAAATGTATTTAGTCAAGTGAATTAGTTGGCAAGGCTTTTGGTTAATCACAGCCCATGGTTTCATCCCCTGCAATTACCATGTTCCCTTACAGCTTGTTGTTCTCTTAAGGAATGAGAGGTTACTTGATGGGCTATGATTTGAAAACCATTGAGACCATGTTTCTCATACATATTCATTGTTGCTGGTTTAGTTGTTGTTGTTGTTTTTTAATAATTAAAGGAATTCATGTTTATAAAGAATTCAGACAATACAGAAGGCAAAGTAAAAGCCCAAAGCGCAAGTGCCTCTTTCCTCAGTCCCGTTCCCCAGAGATAATCACTGGTAGCTTGTCAGGGATTTCAGTTATTTATTGAAGCTGTTAAACAGTCAGCAAATAATCACGTAAGTGCTTTTTAATGCAAGATGATGTTCTGTATTCTTTGGGGAATACAGAGTGAGAGCCTTCTCTCAAGATTAGTCAGGCATGCACAGAAGTAAAGGTGAAGAGAAATACTGAGTGTCACAAACTGTCACACCATGATTTATCAGAGACGGAGGAGGGGGGTAGCGGAGCCTAAACGTTCCTGAGGCCTCTCTAATGGCGTAGGTGGCTTCATATCACTCAAGTCTCAGTTCATGTGTCGTTTCTTTAGCGAGGACTTCCCTGACCATCCTGTTTAAAACTAGCGCCAGCTAACCCTCAGTAGCACATTACCCTGTTTTTGCTTAACGACGACAAACACTTTGTGCCCTTAGTAGTTTCCTTATTTCTCTCCCCCTGCCAGTGGAGCAGAAGCTCAGTAATGACAAGGATCTTGTCTTTTTCATTCCTGTACCCCAAGGCCCAGAACCAAGCTCCACACGTAGGAGATGCCCCAAAATATTTATTAAGTGCATGAATGGGTATGGAGGAAGGAACAGGGAAGGGTGTTTAGTGAAAAGTCAGGTGAGACCTGCCATTGTATATAGAATCAAGTGGAATGAAAAAACGGGAAGATGAGTTAGGAGGTTAATACTGTATTCCAGGGCCGGGTAAGCCTGGAGAGGTGAGAACATAGGAGAGATTCTGTAAAGCTAGAATTGGAAGGACTTAAATTTTTGTTACTTAGTTCGCTACTATAAACTGTTGAAGAACATCCTTTTCTTCCTAATTGCTACTTTACTCTGGCATTTGAAGCTCTCTTTAATTTAAACCTGTTTGACTCTGTTCCCTTCCATCTTCTGCCCAAAATATTTTTGACCCTTCATGCCATATTTATTTCTGATTCAGAGACGTGACTTACCACCACATTTCTCTTTCTGCTCTCTCTTCGTCTACTCAGAAAGTACCATTGTGTTTGCCTGTGTATAAAATATATAAAAGATAAAAGCGAGAATGGGACTGGGGAGGGACACAGGAGCCTTTGAAGAAGCATAAGAGATGGGACATTTCTAATGCCTTTGAAGCGCCTGTGTGCCTCCCAGGCCTCGTCCCTTCCCCTCTCCTCAGAGGTAAACCACTGTGAATTTTGGATACAGTGTTGTAGTTTATACGTTTATGGAGGATTGGGATATGACTTCTCGTCCAGCAGGTGATATAATTTGCAAGTCTCACCTTTAGTTCCATACCATTTTACATCGTATTAATAAGCATTTTCATGTTTATTTTTTTCCTTCATAAAACCTGTGTATATTCCTTTCTCCCTTCTCTACCTGCTGTTGTTTTTCTTACCCTCATGGTTTAGTACTCTAATAGTATTATATTTTCTTCCATGTCTGTCTTTTGTCTCTGCTCCACACCACCCCAAACTGGATTATCATCTCTTGAAAGAACTACCGCATATTGCATTATTTTTGCCCCACAGCACCAGCTCATACTCTATGTATGGTAAAAACACTGCTTGCCATGCTTTGATCCAATACTGGGAAGCATGACCAATAGACTGAGAAAATGACAGTACAGGAGCGTTATTTGAGTTCTGTCACTAAGTCAGGGACTTACACTTACTCTGTCACTAAGACAGCTGACCTACACAGGGAAGGGTCAGAGTTCCTATTTTTTTAGTCTGAAGAGCTCTGAAGTGTTCCGAGGAATCAGAGGTGGCCTGTTTTGTTCTGCTTTTTCTCCATACCTGGCCAAGAAAAGTCCAGATTATGTCTCCCAAGAATAAATTCCCTCCTCATGGTGTGACAAGACAATAAAGAATTAAAAACCCTTAAATTTAGCTGTTACAAGGGGGAAAATGTCCTATGCCACAAAAGTTAATTTTCTTGCTATATTATCATCTAACTACCGAAGGCAAATATTTATGTTAAAACCTGACCAGACCTGTTTGGTAAATAAGACTAAATTCCTCCATTTATAGCCAACTTTAGCATTGGAAGGATTTTGTATGTACATTATTTGTTTTATATATGATACTTTGTGTTCTGCACTCTCTGGGGCCTTCTATTATTATGACTGTCTGAACTGTAGAACATGGTTACTTTCCCTTGATCTTGTTGATGATTTTAGCCCGGTTTGTTCACAGGTGGTCAGGACGTAACAACCGAGAGAAGATTGGCGTTCATGTTGGCTTTGAAGAAATCTTAAACATGGAGCCCTATTGCTGCAGGGACTCCCTGAAATCCCTCAGCCCAGAATGCTTTATCTATGACTTATCTGCTGTGGTAATGCACCATGGGAAAGGATTCGGCTCAGGACACTACACTGCCTACTGCTACAACTCTGAAGGAGGTAGAGATGGGAGCTAGTGTTTGATCTTGGATTAGACTTGGAAGCTAGAGTTCAGGCTTTAGCGATTTGGCCACTAAGTCATCTTAAGCAGAGCCACTTGACCTCTTGTTTTCTTTCAAGAAGAATGCTTCTGTAGTACTGTTGAGTGTTTGTGCAGAAAAGGGAGATTTTTTTCGTGGGATTGCGGTAGTTTTGACTTTTAAGGGCTGTAGGGATACGATAGGATAATAAAGATGGTCTCAAAAGTCAGAAAGAGTGCTATCTTTTCTTAAAGGCACATTTCCAGGAGCAGGTCCTCTGTTTACTGGTTTAATTCAGTTAATTTTTATGTTAAAGAAGAGAGCATCTAGTGAACTGTGGGATCACAGATACTTGGAACAAACTTTAAGTTCAGATTTTAACATATAAAACTCACTTTCACTTACTGCCTCCATGGACCCTTCTAGGACAGTCTTCATAGGTAGCAAAAGTGATTGGATTTAGGTTTCATGTTTTATTCCCCTTTCCCTACCTACTATTGAACAAAGAATGAGCCTCCCGCCTCACACCATTTACCCCGCTTCCCCTCCCGACAGAAAAGAGGTGTGGACAAAAAGCCCTGATAATGCACAAAGGCAATTAATTTAACACTAAGCTACCAAGAGTTGGTTGTACACTATTTGCTTTATCGTATGATGAGCAGCAAAAGCATTAACTAGTAAGATTACACCAGGAATTGAAGATAGTGTTAAAGGAACTAATCAGTCAGATTCTATAACTTCAAATTACTTCTAGGATAAAGGTAGATAATTCCAGAGCAACATAGTGTCTAAGCTCTATTTCACATTAAAAGAAATGAATTTGCTAGATGATGATTTTCCCTTGAAAAAAAGCTTAACTCTCACGGAAACTAATGCTTTTAATTTATGCTAGACATTTCTGAAGTTCCTTCATAAACATTAAGGTGTATTTCTGTGCTCCCCTCTAGGGTTTTGGGTACACTGCAATGATTCCAAGCTAAGCATGTGCACTATGGACGAAGTCTGCAAGGCCCAGGCTTATATCTTGTTTTACACCCAGCGAGTCACTGAGAACGGGCGTCCTAAACTCCTGCCTCCAGAACTCCTGTCTGGTAGCCAGCATCCCAGTGAAGAAGCTGATCCCTCTTCTAATGAAATCTTTAGCTGATCCAAAGACAGTGGGGCTTTCTTCATTCCATCTGTATATATACTTTTTAAAAGGGCTGATTTACAGTTTTGAACTTCATTGTTTTTATTTTTTACTTATGAATCAGTGCACACTGTTTTTATACATTTGTATCTAACTACAACAAAACTTTTTAGAGACAGTTAGCAGAAATACTTGTTTATGTATGACAGCCGGAAACCAAACCTTTTTCAAGTACTTGGGAGTACTTTTAGAGTTTACCTCAGTCTGGTGTTACCTCTTTTATACTTTAGTGTCTTAATTGGCTCAGATCATGAATTTGTGCAATCTTCTACTGAAGAAGTTCAGGTGGCATCATTTTATACATTTCTTATCTTTTGTAGCTATTTTCTATACAAATTCTTATTAGATAGAAAATTAGACACTTTCTTCACTAATAGTCTTACCAAAACAAAAATTTGTATATTGAAATCACTTTTGCCCCTTGAAGGGAGTCAAAACTACTACATTCGAAAGTGAAATATCAAGGTATCACCTAGATATTCATCAGTAATACTCATTGATATCCCTGAAGCTTTGTGTTATAGGGCTCAGAACAGACATTACTCTGGTTAATAGAACTTCATTTTTTCAAAACTGTATTAAGTTTGAATAATTGTTTATTTGGCATAGTCAAACTGTATGCAAATACAAAGGACAGCTTTATAAATAGTATGTTTAAATGACTTCAGTAATATGGTCATAAAAACGATGATGGATGGGACTTATAATGATGATTTGTCTGGCAGCAACCAGGTTTGTCCAGATTCTAATAAAGCAGTCATATCAAAAATTTGAATTTAGCAAATAATGTTATGATTATGCAAGTACAGTTTAACTTGGATATGAGTTCATTTTATATGTTTAACATTAGATCTCTTAAAGCTTTGTACCATATATCTTGAGATTTTTAGTTTAAAGGAATAAAAGTAAGTCTTGAAGAAAAAAAACTGCATAGGGCAGAGATAATTGTTCAAAATGGAAAACTGGGCAACATATTCAATATCTCATTTTTCTAAATAAATAAAGCCTAGAGTACTTACTCTTGCCAGGATTATGTGAATACTAGGAACCTCTTAGTCAAACACTGGGCCCTGACATTTTTTTTTAATTAAAAATTATCTAAACTTGCATTAAAAATATAGTATGAAATACTCTTTGCTCTTCCCTAAGACTCTTATAGATCTCTTTAAAAATCCTACTGCTGCTAACTTAATTTTATTCAGGAGGAGGATCCACTAACCTCTGTAGATCTGCTGTGCAAGATCTTAGCTCAGTGGCAACCACTGGAAGATCATTTATCCCTTTTTTCTTAAGTTTGCTTGCAGGTTGAAATCTTAATGAAAGGTAATATCCTGCAGAATGTGGTTCTCCCTCCAGTGATCATCTATAAGTATAAGCTTGAAAAGGACCTCTATTAGCAAATTCTCCTTAAATTTCAAAGAACAAGTCATCTGAGGCAGCTAGCTGATTGTGAAGTGCAATGAGAACTTATCACTGAACAGGCAAATCATTTATGCCAAAAATACAGCTTAAGTATTAAATGGCTAAGGTTTAAAATTGTTCATTTATTAAATACCTATGCAAGTTGTTACCTCAACTGTTAACATAATTATACCTCATTAAAGATTTATGTGGTCAAGATACCCGAGTCTAGCTTTTTTTAATTTCAAGGATTACTTTATACTTAGGATAACTGCTATACATTTCAGTACCTAATTTTAGTGGGATATTTTAAAAATAACTCTGGAAGCTATGTTGTTTGTGATGGTATAGTCACTTGTTTCAGTACTTATTTCAATTTCAAAATTTGTGACAAAGAAATAAAGTGACTTAGCCCTTTACTTTTTAATCCCTTAAAACTAAAACTTGTGTGTGTGAGGTCAAGGGGTATATGGGAATTCTGTACTTTATGCTCAATTTGCTACAAACCTAAAACTGATCTAAAAAAGTTGTCTATTAAAATAACAAAACTAAAGGGGCCATCCCAGTGGCACAGTTGTTAAGTGCGCACGTTCCGCTTCAGCGGCCTGGGGTCCGCCGGTTCAGATCCTAGGTGCAGACATGGCACCGCTTGGCAAGCCATGCTGTGGTAGGCGTCCCACATATAAAGTAGAGGAAGATGGGCACAGATGTTAGCTCAGGGCCAGTCTTCCTTAGCAAAAAGAGGATTGGCAGCAGGTGTTAGCTCAGGGCTAATCTTCCTCAAAAAGAAAAAACCCAAAAAACCAAAACTAAAACCTAGACAATGAACAGAAGCTTAGATTTCTTACTTTACATCTCAATGTGGACTTCCACATTCTGCTAAGTTGATCTAACAAAAAAAACAACATGTTTGGTTGTAAAATAATTTACTAAAGGCACTATTGTTAAACATCGAACTAATAATTGGTTACGAATAAGGTACATCATTGTAAACATGACAAAATGATTTCAAGAGATACAGGGCTAATAGGTCAACAGTACAATTTTTTTCTTGTGACAGCTTTAGCTTCCCTATTTACAAGATCATATCCCTTCCAGCCATTCCAGGGGCATGAAGTGATGCCACTGCTCCCAACAGTTAGTTACCTGGGAAGGGAGCTTGGAGCTCCAAAATTCTTCTCTCATAGGGTCAGTTCTAAAATTCTTGGGCTTAGAAATCGATACGTCTTTCATACCTCCCACCAAAGCACATCAAAAAAGTATGGACTCAACATCCCAAAAGAGCTAGCTGGAGGGCCCAAGCCCTCTAACACGTCCAGGCAATGAACGAGTGAGCTCTGCCACTAGCACATCATCACAGAAAATGGAGAAATTACTTGAAGGTAGCTATTGAACATTAGCACCATAATAAACATGGCTCATATAGCCAAAAACTAGACTGTTCATCCCATAACATTCATTTATAGTTTGAGTGCTGAAAGAGCAGATTTTTAATGTATAATAAGTGATCTAAGTACAGAAGTCAGGTTTTTTTTTCCTATGAGGAAAACGTTAAACAAAATACAAACTAAACAGCATCCCAGAAGCAATCTGATTGTGCTAAAACATATACAAATTAAGGCTTTACCTTGGTACATAACAATTTTGAAATTATGTTGGAACATCTCCAAGAAATCCTTAACATAGAATTCGAGCAATGTGATCAAGAGTCGGGAGTGGGGCTCAGCTCAAGATGTAACATGCATCTTCCATTCACCTTACGCACTTGCCTGCTGGAGTGAGTGTCACTGTAGCCTCTCTTGCTGAAGCACCACCCAGAATGTTAGGAATCCCAGCCAGGCGACAGGCAGGGTGTTAAGAGAATTTGCTTCACTAATGAAAAAGCCTAATAATTCAACTTAACTCTTCTAACTAGAACAAGATCCAAATATGGGAAGTTTTCCTGTTTTTGTTTTTGTGGTTTTAAATGCCCTTTTGGTTTACTGAGTAAGCCAAATACATTTCCCGATAAATACTACCACCAAAGATTCTAAATATTGAGATTTTACTGAATCAAGGTTTCAATGTTCCTACTAAGTCATGTTTCAATTAGATCTTTCCAATGTCAAGGAAAAAATGAAAGACAAGGACTAATATGATCCTAAAAAGAAGGCAAAATATTCCTAAGGCTGTATCTTAATTTATCAAAATTCTCCCACTTTATGCATGTATAGATCTTGTTTTAACCACTATGTCAGAAGAAAAGTTTCAGTGTAGAAGTCTACAATCCAGATAAAAGGCTCTACATTTCCCTACATTAAGTCTGGCTATTTCCTGTGCAGAATTATAACCACAGACATTGACATGTAGCTCTCAGATCTGAAAATGTCTTTATTTTTTAGAAAATGGATTCCAGGAAGGTTAAAAAGCAATACCAGAGGATATAGGTGCAGAACTGGATGTAGTCATTCAAAGCATTCAATTAAGAATATGGCAATATAAATATATGAAAAGCGTCTCCTGGGTGTTCAAAACAACATGTATAAGTCATTTCTAACTAATTTGAGCTTTATAGCATTTCCTAGACAGGGGAAAAACAGTTAACATCTGAAAGTCCTGAAAGCTTTTTCCTTGGTTAATTACATTAGATGGTATGCCTTTGATCAAATTCCTTCCTTTTTAAACATGGATAAAAGTATTACATAGGTCCACTGTCAAACAGACAACATGTTGCAAATTAATTCTGGTATAATGTATTCCAACAAAGCTTAGAAAATAAAAGATGTTGTGGTGGCTTTGGACTAAGTTTAATAGTCATCTCCTCTGCTGACAACTTCTTTACATGTTGGACGCAACAGTATGGTATGTTCAAACTGCGCTGTATATGATCCTTTAATGTCACATAATGGTGGATATGGATCTACAATGCCCAAGTCACACAGATTCTTCAAAGCCATCAAGTATTTACTTTCTCCCAAGCGATCCAGCCATCTGCGGCAGAAGGCAAGGGTGCCAAAGTTTTCATTGATGACATTTAACAAGTGTTTTGTTCTTGGAAGCCTAAAAGGAGAAAATCAAAGATTAATAGTTGGCTAAAAACTTACCAACTCATTTCCCCCATTAAGGAAAACTCAAACCCTAGCCATGGCTTTACTTTGTAATTGAAGTTCAAAAGACTTTTGTTGTTGCCTCTTTCAACATTCAAAAGCCAGAATGTATAATAGCCCATACCTAATTATAGATGGCAGCTGAATAGGAGACCAGCCGAAGGCTACCTTATCATGTTTGTTGATATGTCTGTGCCTGTGTGTGTTAAATTCCCTGTACAGACTCATCAAGACTATTACTGTGGGAGTTTACTTTTTTGTGCATCAAGCTGAAAGACCTGCGCATAAAAGTAGGTGTAAATTCATCCTTCAACCATCTTCTCCAAAGAAAGTTTACCAATAGGAAAATAAGAAGAAAACCCTAGAAATGCCAGTAAAAAAATAATTTCTGAAATTATTATGATTATTGGAAACTGGATCTGAAGAGAATACTTCCTATATCATTTTCATTTCAATTAAAATTTTTAACAGGCCAATTTCTTTGCTGTATTATAGAAATCCACAGAACTTATTGTTAGGCTATAGAACTGTACATTTATGAATGTACCACTGTAGATGTTTGTCACATTTTTGAAAATGCTGTTAACTGGAAAGAGAAATTCATTAGTCATATAAAAACAACAGTCTCTCACCTTATTGGCACATGTCCAACATCAAAATTTTTCATGTAATGTGAACATTCCATATCATCATGAACAACACCTTTTCCTGTGCTACCAAAGGTTTCAATAGCATACACTTCTCCTTCCTAAAAAAATACATAAGGGACAAAGAGAGAGAAGAAAAATCCAGAACTAATCAAAATTACCATCTCTCATCTTCAGGCTGAGGTATTTTCTACTTGATGTAAGAAACAACATGAAACGTCCCCTGGCAGTCCTTATCCACCTCTGCCTGCTTATCTCCTTAGCACTTTTTGGTCTTTCTGTGTCTTCCTATTGGAACGTAGGCTTCACATGGGCAGGGAATTTTGTTTTGTTCACTACTACATCCTCAGTGCCTAGTAAAGAGATGGCACCTATGAGATGCTCAATAAATACTCACTAAGTGTTGAGTAACAATCCTTTAACATACCGAACTTTCACAACTGACTGAACCCTGGTCTGACCAGACACAATTTGCACACTCAACACGGCCCAATTCCCGTTGGGGTGAGTATGGATGCCAAATTAATTTTGCTCAACATAATCAACTATCACTAGCTTTAGTTTGGGAAAAAAAATTTACAAAGAACACCGTTAATGGCATACATACCTCCATTCTTGTTGCCTCTCCTCCTTTCACAATGGGCACTGTTTTCCCAGCATGTATTCTATATGGCCCAATTGAATGTCCATTTAGATTACGGATTGGTTTCACTGGCATAATAAATAGGAAAAAAATAATTATTCAGGATCTCTATAAGCACAAAGAGATCTCTTGGCCTTGTGGCACAGAGTTCAAGCATTTATTTAAAAACAACATATGGCTTTACTAAATAACCTCACATTAAGAGAGTTAAATACAAAGTAGAAAACTAGTGGAATATGAAAAGCTATTTATTGCAATGTTACTGATTAGAAACTAGAAGGGAGTAAGGGGAGATGGTGGAAAAAGAATAAACTGTGTGATGAGGACACAATGGGGGTCATCTAAGAAGGTATAGTTAATAAAAACAGAGTCATAAAATGCTATGTACATAATGATTACAAATATGAAAATATATATTTTTATGCTTATAGACCAAAAGGTAACATGAAAATGAGGATTCTGTGTTGAAATGATAAGACTATGAAACCTTAAATTTTATTATTACATCAGCATTTCAAACGTTAAGATAGAAAATCTAAACAACCTCAGCGTCCTGACAGCAACGACAGAATAAACAAATTGTGGCAAATTCACACAGTGGAACACTACTCAACAATAAAACAAAAACCTAGGGATACAGGATACAGTGAACAACTGAAATAAAACCTGAAGAAAAAATGAGCAAGAGAAGGCACAATTATATAGATACTGTGCAATTCCATATATGCATATATATATATGGAATATAAAAGGCATAATTATACTACTGTTTAGGGATGCATAATTAGATGGTGAACACATAAAAGCGAATGCAAATATTTTAGTACTCAAGATAGTGGTTTA